CCCTGTAGAAAAGCTTTCCTTCCTCATATATTCTATCAGTTTTCAGACCTGCTGAAGTCTTATGTTGTGAATTTTAAATTTGGTATCTTGAGATAGTAAGAGATTCAAATATATTAGAAGCAATGTCTTGGCTCGTTTAAACTTCAATATGTGGGAAATCTATTTTTGTTTATCTTCTATATAGGTTGAGTATCCCTTATTGGAAATGCTTGGGACCAAAGTGTTTCAGATTTCAAATTTTTTCGGATTTTGGAATATTTGCATTATACTTACAGTTGAGCATCCCTAATCTGAACATCAGAAATTTGAAATACTTCAATGAGCATTTTCTTTAGTGTCATGTCAGCATGCAAAAAGTTTGGATTTTAGAGCATTTCGGATTTCAGATTTTTGGATGTGCAACCTATACTAAAAATAGTTGAATTCAATAAAGTAATGAAAACAACTGATGAGCCAGAACTCTGTAACTGCATAATACTATTATAAATTCCTGTCAAGGCAAAGATTAGAAGATGGCTACAGAACTACCGTGTTTCCCTGAAAATAAGACCTACCCATAAAATAAGCCCTAGCAGGATTTCTAAGCATTTGCACAATAGAAGCCCTACCCCGAAAATAAGACCTAGTGATGGGCATGGCTATGCAGCGTATCAGCACAACCCATGCATTTCATCATGGAGTGGTAAAGAAGACGAGCAGTCCTTCTCATCTGCCCCATCATGACAGCTACTATCCCAGAGGTGACCGGAAAGGTGCAGGCAGCCCCACCAACAGGTTGGCTGCCCTTGTCAGGTCCCGGCCATCCTGTGCGTGCTGCAAGCTGAGGCTTTGAGGGGAAAATAACACATCCCCTGAAAATAAGCCCTACGGTGTCTTCTTGAGGAAAAATAAATGTCATATTTTCAGGGAAACATGGTAGATTACTTTTTTTTTTTTTTTCAGACAGGGTCTTGCTCATGTCACCCAGGCTGGAGTACAGTGGTGCAATCATAAGCTCACCTCAGCCTTGAACTCCTGGGTGCAAAGGATACTTCCACCTCAATTTCCTGAGTAGCTGGGATTAAAGGTGCATGCCACCATGCCTGGCTAAGTTTTAAAATTTTCTGTAGAGACAGGGTCTTGCTATGTTGCCCAGGCTGGTCTCGAACTCCTGGGCTCATGTGATCTTCCCGCCTCAGCCTCCCAAAGTGCTAGGGTTACAGCACCATGCCTGGCCGTGAAGTAGATTACTTTAAATTTGAGGTAATGCCAAACTGATATTTCCAGGGATTTTTAGAGGACTTATTGAAAGGGAGAAAAAGAAGGAGTCCTGTTTTGCTGTTGGGGCAGAGGCAGATCTTAAAGGACATAAAGGTACAACAATATCTAATGATTCATTTTTTCAGTTTATGGAGACTCAATTCCCAGAATCAGAAGTAATTAAAAAGTATAGGTAGAAAAAAGCAAAACATTTAAAGTCTGTTAAATTCATAAATGTAAAGATACTGGCTTAAAAAGCTTAAAATAAAATTAGAACAATGTTTTAAAAGAGATTTAAAAACATTGTCTATTATTCATTACCATTTATTATTCATTAACACTGCCTATTAGTCATTATTACAGCACAGAGGCTCTATCAAATTTTTCAGCAAAGCAGAAATAAATACCAGCAACGTAATTAAATAGGAAGTATAAATTCAAGATTGAAGCAATGACACTGGGACCCATGACATTGCCAAATATAAAAATATTTACTCAGCAGATTGCTGCTGCTCTGCCTTTCATAGAGTAAAATTATTTGTGTGTAGAACAGTTAGAATAAAGGGTATTCTTCTGATAAATTTTAGAGGATCCTTGGGCAAGTATAAAAACACTCCATGCTGGCTCATCCTTTGACTACTAACTTTGGAGGTGTGTTGGGTGGGTAGGGGAGAGGCATGTATCACAGTTGAATGAATAAATGAGTCTTTCTATATAACCCTCAAGGAAGGAAGCAGTGCCTAGCCTAATTAGCAAGAAAAGATATATGTCCACCTGTGATTCTTAATTCAGAAGGCAATTCTATGTTGAAATACAGTAAAATACAAGAACAAAAATATCAATCACTAATCAACTACTTGTATAGTATCACAAAAGCAAGTATCAATCAGTCTGCTATCACAGATAAGAGTTTTGTTCTTAATTAGGCAAGATGAATTCTTCATTCCCAAATCCTGATGTTAAATGTATTTAAGGATAGAAGCTTCAAATTTAAAGCCAAAAGGAAGCTGGCAAACTGATGTTCTAAGCTTGTTCTAATTTTTTTAAAAATCTACAAACAGATTAAGATTCTTTTCAATCCCCCAAAAAGGAAGCTGGCCAACAATCTAACAAAAATGTAAAGACATAGTGTCTTCTCTGACTATATATAGAGCTACTAAGATGAAAACATATCCAGAAATCTAACAACTGATATGGCTATTTGACACCTACAGAGGAATAGTTGGCTTCATCTTTCCAATTCTGTATCTTGCTTTGGTTTTAGGACCAAAAGTGTTGGTCTAAAATTCTTAGGAGCAGAAGTGTTTTGGATTTTGGATATTTTTGGATTTTGGAATACAATAAGCCCTCACTTGATATCATTGATATATTCTTAGACTATCTCTTACGTATGATGTTAAGTGAAACAACATATAACAAACTCATTTACCATAGGCTAATTGATATAAACAAGAGTTAAGTTCCTACAGCATATTTCTGATCACAAGAACATCACCAAACTTCTAAATAATGATCCAAAACACTCCCAATATTAAACACGAAATAAATATGAGCTATACATACATTTAAGAAAGATTAATAAGAACAAGTAAGATAATTATTTACCCAATTTTTGGTGAACCAGAGTGACAGTGGTTGTAGAGGTGGTGAGTTAAATCAAGAAATGCATGTTTGCAAGGCGAAAATTATAAAGAACACTCCTTATCACCAAGCAGTTCCAAAACAAAACAAATATGGTGTGCTCACTGAGTACTTTCAAATAGCATCATTTATTATTGTACATTTGTATGACTGTATACTTTACAATTTTTTTTTTTTTGACACAGAGTCTCACTCTGTTGCCTGAGCTAGAGTGCTGTGGGCGTCAGCCTAGCTCACAGCAACCTCAAACTCCTTGGCTCAATCAATCCTCCCTCCTCAGCCTCCGAGTAGCTGGGACTATAGGCATGTGCCACCATGCCCTGCTAATTTTTTCTATATATTTTTCATTGTCCAGCTAATTTCTTTCTGTTTTTAGTAAAGACGGAATCTCGCTCTTGCTCAGGCTGGTCTTGAACTCCTGAGCTCAAATGATCCGCCTGCCTCAGCCTCCCAGAGTGCTAGGATTACAGGTATGAGCCACTGCTCCTGGCCTACAGATTTTTGTTTTACAGTAATTCGTATTCATTCATTCATTCATTTTCCAACTTGCTTATTCCAGTTCAGGGTCACTGGTAGTCAGAGCACAAAGAGGAAACCCAACCAGTGCAGGATGCCTGCCATTCCATCCTACAGTGAACATTTCCTGTGAGTGTCATGGTGGTGCTCAGAAAGTTTTGGATTTTGGAGCACTTCAGATTTCTGATTAGGGATGCTCAACCTGTACTAGCTAGATTATGCCTTTCTTTGCTTGTGGGTTATGAGAATCTTCTTCCTCTACCATTTCTCACTGTGTAAGTTTCATTCAAAGAACAAAAATTCAGTAACAATCCAAGAAAAGAAACAGGTGATTTATTAAATGCATTCAGGCTGTAAGATCCCTATTATGAGGAAAAAGAGGAACTGACCATTGGTAAGTGCCTATCATACCTGGGCACAGTATTATGCACTTTTTTATATCTGCTAATGCCAAACCTGAAAACACTCAATTTTAAAAGGCAAGCTTTTAGAAGCAGAGTTTTCTAACCCACTTCATTATTAGACAGAAAACAAGCACCAAGAAAGAACAGAGTGAACAGTAAGTTCACCCCAGATTTCTAAGGCCAGCAATTGATAAATAAATAGGAGCTCACTATAATAATAAAGAACATCTGTTAAAATCACTCAGTTTTCTCAAAGAAACTGAACCAAAGAAGGTCTCTAAATTTTGTCTCATGAGCAATTATTTAAAAAGTCAACATTCAGGATAAGAAAGATGGAACCAGGAAAAAAAAAATTAAAATTTAACTTAATTTATATGGAATCTGATACACTGAGTTTTATCAGCCACATGTAATACTACAGAAAAACTAGATAGCAAAGTTAAGGCACTTAAGTTATGAATTGGGATCAAATGAAACTACAGAGTCTATCACAAGAGGTAATATTCCCTACTTGGATTTGTCTGGAGACTTTTAACAGGACAGGACAATGTAACATTTATCTGGAATTGCTGGAGGATTAGGAAGCACTTTATCACATAAATGGGTTTTTCAAATAACTGAAGTTCATTAAAACCAAAACAAATTTAAATTACTTATAAGTAGAATAACAAAAAATATATGCATCCATGCCTTTACCCAGTCCTTTTTCTTAATGATAGAAGTTTTTACTATGTATATAGCCTTATTATACAGGACTTACTGTAAATCAGTTTCTGTCTTTTCTCCATTTTCCATCAGCTCTGTGAGCCACTGTAGCTCTGAATAGGCCTCTAAAAGCTCTCCAAAGAGCAAATGCAAAGCTTTTGTGCTGGACTGAATGACAACTATATGAGGTGCTATGCAAGATACTCAGGGACTTTTTCCCCAACTCAGATCAAGGTAAACAGTTCAATGCTTGAAAAGCCTAAAGTGGAGGCAAGATTGGTCTTTGATTATGTGTGGGGTTACCATATTTGCTAGCACATTTTTATGAAAACTACATTTAGTAGCTCACTCATGCTTTGTATAACTTCTTAGCAGGTTTGATCTATCAGTAAACAATTCTAACTGATTTAAAATGTTTTTTTTTCCTATGTAGTATTAGAGCACCACCTTGTGTCAGAAATCTGAGCAAATAGCAGACATCTACATTTTAGATACCTTAGTTGTCCAAAGTTTTACTGTCCAGTCAAATGATGAAGTGACAAAAAGATGTGAGAAGTCTACTGCTCCAACAGCTGCATGACAGTGGATGCCAGTGATTGGTCCTTGATGTCCCTCAAACATCTCACTGATTCCAGCTTTGCTATTTCATAAAAGTGAAAATGTTAGGGAAAGCTCTTATAGATAGACCGATTACAAAACACATTTTATTAGGGTTTATATTTCAGACCTTGACTTAATTTTGACAAACTTAACTTTGTGCTCATAATGTATCAGAATAACTTACGTTGAGTGTTATTCTATCCAGATTTGATAACACTAGTAAAGCAATAAGTACATTTTGGAACCATAAACAGCATGCTGTTTACAAAGGAATGCAAAAGTTCTATCTGAGGTGGCGGAATAGAGACAATGAGATGCTGCCTGTAAGAGAGACAATCTGGCCTACTTTTAAATCAAAAGCGTTGAAGTGAAGGTGATCCATCTTTGAGATGAAATCTGGACACTCAATTTTTTTTAAAGGAAGCAAGTGATAGGGCACAACTAGACAATTTCAAAACAGACTGACCACCAGGAGAAATACTAGTCAATTTAAAAGGTATATGTGACTCTATGGTACAAATATCAGGAGGACTGAACTAAAGCTCAGACTCCAAATAAATCAAAATGGGAAAATAGCTGAAAAATCTTATTTACAAGTTCAAAAGTCATACGTGGCACATGCATATTGTATTTGTAATTGCTGAATGTTCCTCCCTACCACTAACTTCTCTGAGTACATGCACATACATAAAGCCACAATATGCCACAACCCACAAAATCTAGAACATATCATGAATCCAATGATTTTTTTTTAAAAAAAAGTATTTAAGTTTTCATTTTACATGCCTGAACCCAAATATTCTGTCACAAATAGTGACAGAATGGCGCTAGTGACAGGTGGCGCTAGGACAGATTTCTATTTATATAAGGGGCAATTTGTTTCAGTGGGATTATTCAGGGTGAGTTTTAAATTACTGCACATCCCAGTTTAGGTTTACCTGCCATGGCGGCATGCTGTGTACACAGAACCTTCTTCACTCCCAACAACAAAGTTGTTGACATCTCCAACAGGGAAGGACATAGATGTCACAGCCACTGCCTTTGATTGTTTATGAACCAACTCCATGCTATCCTACATGGAAAAAATTATTTTGTAAATTTTCAATTTTTGTAGAAAAACTTCTAGTTTTAATTGGTTTGTAAACAATCCCTTTACTATACTACTTATATAAACCTACCTCAATTAAACGAAGCAGGTTTGAAAATAAAATACATATACAACAAACTATATTTAACATATGTTTAGGTTTATAAACTGTGAAAACACTATTATAAAATAGTTTATGAAAAACATAAGTAGGAGTATATACACTACACACTTAAAATGTAACAACATTTGCCTCAAAATTTCAGTTTCACAACTTCAACCTACCTGTGGATGGGAAAGCATGTCCAGACTCCATGAACAAATTTTTCCGTCAGTAGAGATGCTAATCAGATTGTGAGCATTTTGTGTTCCAACAACATTTACACAGTATACAGGGTGCTAGAGACATTAAAGTTTTCAAAGATTATTTCACAAAAAAATGAAATAAATGTTTTAGTCTAATCACAGGTATTCTGTTTCATATCAAAAGTCTATTTTTAATGTGAAGTTTGTTGCTATTCTGTTGATTAACAAGAATCTCAGAAGGGAGATAAGTTTCTGATAAAACATCTCTAAAATATAGAACTAAGGCCTTTATTCTTGGATGCTAAATGGTGAGAAATTCATTCATCAAAGGAAGCACATTCTGAGCCTACTCTGATGGACACTACTAAATAGTTAATGGTGAAAGAGCACAGAAGTCTAATGGAAATAATCTTATTTACTTACTGTGTGTGCAGCAGCTGACAGTGGAGTTCTTTGCACTGGAGTTCTTTTATTGCTACGGTTATCCCAAAGCACAATTTGGCCAGAATATGTACCACCAACAACAAGATTTGGATGAAATTTTGCAAATGTAGCAGACATCACGGCTGACTGAAAATAAGTAAGATTTTTATACTTGAGATTCAAATAGAAAAAACCTGACAAACTATAAAAATCAATTTATTATCCAAATCATTTGCTTCTTTATTACAAGGTATTAGAGGTTATAAAACAAATAAGTTCATTAAAAGTTTTCATTTTGTTTCAGAAATATAAAAATGTATCTTTAAACTATTCTTTTGCTTAAAAGTCAAATGTAATGATTGTTTACATAAATATGTTTAAGCAATTTATCAAAGAAAGCAAAAAACTATTTCATTTGATTATAAGTATTAAAAAGATAACCGGTCCTGCATTAGCCTTTGACAGTGATCTGACAAAGTATATGCTAGTCTTGATTCAGGTGTTTATTCAGGATCATGACATTATTAAAAGATTTTAACTTATACAACCAGAAAAGGCTTGCAAATTCTAGCCTACTAAATCTACTTTAAAAATCTGCATCTGTTTCCTACTTCAACTACATATGTTTCTACTTAAAACCATCTAGTTCCAACTCCTCAGGCCATGTATAAGTAATTCAGTGGGCCAACCATCTGATTGTATATTCAACAAATAAAGTTCCTGAGAAACTCCCTGTAGAAAAGACATTTTATAAAAGATTCCTTTTATACAATCAATCACAATAACAGAAAATCACAACTGCAAAGGACTTTAGGTGTGATTAAACATTATAAGAAATGTCAGAAAAGCCACAAAAGGCAGATCATGTTGAACTGAGAAGTCTTCAGTTTTCTGTTAACATCTGTTTGCAAATATGGAGTGGTTTAATAAATGCCAATCCAATGAAACCATTATGTTGACAAGAAAAGAAAAAAGGCACTTGTCTAAATTCATCAGTGAATTCTTAAACTTGGGGAAGACTGTTAAAAGACCACCTTACCTGGCAGTGAAACACATACTCTGGGGTAGTTTTTTTGTATTTCATATTCCACACAAGGGCCACACCATCAGGCTCATGAGGAGCATCTTCGTTGTTGTTATACGAAGCCACAAGTAACTCTGGATACTACTCAGAACAATCAAGTGGAAAAGAAATGCCATGCATAATAGGAACTCTTTTATGCTCCCAGTTAGTCAATGGTCTTTATCAGATTATTCTGAAAATACAAATATCTAACATTTCATCAAGAAAGATATCTCTGGAGTTACGCTCATTGGGACATTAGTACAATTTTAAGTTACTACAGTTAATTATTTAAAATGTTTTTACATTAAAACATTTAATTAAAATATGTCTAAGTTTTATACAAAGGATTTGCTGAGCAATTGAAATCAGCAAAACTGGCATGTGGCATAAATGAAGTCCTACATTTTAAACACAATGTTTCTAATCCTTTCTTCCAAAGTACATAAGATAAAATAAATCTGCTAACATTACAGCCATCATCCATTTTCTAAAAAATGATACATATTGATTTAATTACACAAAGTTCCCATAATTAAAGCTACTTGCTAATTATAATTTAAAAATGAGTTAAGAGCAACCAATTTTGTTACATTTTACCTGAGATGACCAATCCAAACAACTAACAACTCGATGCTTTGACCAACGTTCATCAAAAAATTGTCGATTTAATGATAGTTTAGCACCTGCTTGAATCTCTCTATGGAAAAAGATCAAACCCCAAAAAAAGATGGTGTTATAACTTTTATCACACATTACTTAAAGTAATTTAATATTGCTGAAGTTAAAATCTTAGCAATTAAACATTACCCTTCTTTGTCTTCCAAATCTCTCCCACTGTAGTCAAAGAAGATGTTAATCTGCTCAGAAAGAGCTCTCTCTACAATTCTTGTAGAATGGTCAAAGAAACTTAAAAATTCCTCAGAGTGCAAGATTTGTTGCTTTTCTTCTTCAGTCAGCTCATGAGGGGGAGCTGGAAAGCAAATTTTTTTTGAAGTTTGATTTATGTCAGTCAAATCACATCCACAGTTCAGATCAATGAATGTTATTCTTTTCAACCAGATTCGCCTCTCTGATTAGGATATTTTATACTATTTTAATACATAAATAATAAAAGAAATCTTAGCAGAAATCAACAAAAATTTTTAAAGTTTATTTCTTTAAGATACCTTTATTATCGTTTTCCTCATCTTTCTTTAAAGTTTTCTCTTCTTCAGGTTCAATAGGTGGTTTAGGAGCTACTACGTCATCTTCCTCCTCTTCATCTGAAAAAATAGAAAGATAATTATTTTTATGAAAATCACTTAGAACTTTTGAAATAGTATTCAGAAGGTATCACAACTCCCTAGATAAAAGCAAAAGTAAACCACTGATAAGACAGAACAAGTACAAATAATATGAATTTTAACAACACAACCTTAAAGAATTAAGTGGAACCTCTTAGTTTTTATATATACCTGTGTGGTACCTCATCAATAGCCATGCAAAATTCTGTAGCTACACAAACTGAAATAAGATATTATATATAAGCAACTAGGATAGGCCTCATGGAAGTCTCTAAAAGCTTGCAAGCATTATCATTCCAGACAGAACAACATGCAACTCCTGCATAGTTTTATATAGCATGCTGACACATTAATGCTGTAGAATGAGGAAAATCAAATGTCTAAAATAGCCTACAGAGCTGGCTGCTTACTTGTGATCTGAAACCATCAGTGTCTAATGGGTCTTCATATGGCATAAAGACGGCTTACATTAACTCTCTGGTTGCTATTTGAGAGGCAGATTTTAAAGATAATAGCTATAAGACCACATTTTCTATTCCGTCATTTGAAATGCAAGTCTCATTATGTACTGTTATATGATGTGGCAATAAGCACTTAAAAAATAATGTTTTCTTACTTTGAATAAAAATATATATTGGGATAAAATAGAATGTTTATAAGACTTTTAAAAAAATGACTAAATCTCTTACATCCCCAAACCACGAACTAACTGAATATCATTTATTTTCAAATGTTATAGAACATACAATCCTGCCTACCTTTTCTTTTGCTACATACTAAGATGGATTTTTATGAAGAAACTGCTTATTTTTATTGCCTAAATACACGTGTTATTTGTCTACAAGAGAATGGCAGCAGGCATTCTGCAGCAGAGTGCATCTCAAGTAATGAGAGTCTATTCAATAAGGGGACTTTACTTGTCAGTTATAGTCATTTCCCTGACCCATGTTCAAAATTATCTAAAACACACATACATACGATGTACACAAAAGAATGGTCAAGGATGGGAACCAGCTGCCAAGTCATGGTCCCAGCAGCCAGGCCAGCTGACTAGATAGCAACAAACAGATGGCACTGCTGGGATTGTGTCTTTCTGCTACAAGGTGGCAATGGGATGGCATAACATTCTTCCGCTTGACTGCTTCCAATCCTGTGTCTCTCCCCAATGGCGGGCCTGTGCAATTACCCGCACTCCAGGAGGGCTACAGACAAGCCTTTACCCTGCAAGTAAAATGCAGCTTATAGGCCACACCAGCTGCCAAGCCACACACATAGTGTTAGGTTTAGAGAGCTATGAAAATCTTTCTAACTCTATAGTATAAGCAATAAAAATATAACTATACCTGTGGAAAGAAAGCTTTAAATGACACTGTATAATGCACACAATGATACAACCTCCAACTTAATCAAAATGATAATGACGTATGCCAATCCTACATTACTTGAAATTGAGCGATTTTTACGTTCTGACAAGTTTACAGAACTAGGATAAATGGCACGAATGATTTCAATATATGCTCATACTTTTGAACCAAATGGTGAAGGTTAAAATTTTTCCTTTCAAGGGCCTCAATCAGCCACAAAGGAAAACAGTAATCACTGTCTTTTCAACCAGCCCAACCGCATTTGTCAGCCCTTTCTCCGTCAATGCAGCCAGAGCAATCAACCTGCCAAACATTCAGAATGGAAAAACAATCTGAAAATACAGGGTATAATGCACCTGCCAGTGAAAATGGCCATTTCAAGAAAAGCTAGTGATCTCAGTGACCCTGCTGAGGAGGCGGTGGTGCAAAGGGGAAAGAACACGTAAAAGAATTCTTAGTGATCGCCACTCTCTTGCACATTGACACTTCCTTACAAAGCATGCCAATTACAGCTTTTGTGCTACTTAAAAAAAATGAAAGCTTTTTTGGGCAAAATAATCACACAGAGAAACAGAAAGACACTATTCCTTTTTAGATGAATTCTCATCTACAATGAATTATTAATCTGAAAACAGTATAACTGGTGGCAATTCTATACTGTACTGCTCAAACATTAGAATGAAATTCTTCCATAAAGTCACCTGCGGGTATAACGTAATAAAATACTGTAATTACATTTAACTTAAAAGTTGACTTTTAGAATAACAGGGCATTTACTTCAATTAAAAATTCAGTGTGAGAATATATATTTTTTCATTTTCTGCTAACATTATCAGTTATCCTAATCAATTTTGTTTACTAGTAGGGTTCACTGTATGTAAATCCTAAAATCACTCTGGACAGGTCATACTTGAGCATGGTGAATTATAAATTACAGCCTCCTACCCACATCTTATTCTCCTCCCTTAACTTTGTTGCATTATACGGCTTCTAAGTACCATTTCCAATGACAGGTGTCAAATTCCTGTCATAATGCATATGGTCAGTACTTTAGTGCTAAGTGACCTCATAATCTACATATTTAACAGAAAAGATCTTGTTTATAGACACTCTTTTCCTTTTAAAATTTAAAATGTAGATGAAGTATGCTAGTGATCTATATCTGTCTACTATATAGCATTTGCCATGCCTACTTGTCCAAACAAATTATTTTAGTTGTAGTGGAATGATAAGTATCAACTATTTAAATACATGCTCTCAGGTTTTTATTTTAGAACAAATGTACATACCTCCCTTTCTACATGGATTAAAAACAAATTTTAAAACTACAATTGGTACTTAAGCTTCATAAAAATGATTAAGCTAAATAAATTTCAAGGAATATGCAAACAAATGATATACTGTTAAGAACTGTAAAATGTAATATTTTTGTTATAAAGCTGATCTTTTTTATCTACATATTTCAAATATTTGGCAAAAATGCCTAACATCAATAACATTAGATTAAAAAATGTAACTCTGAAACAAATATACTTCTCTTATTATAAACTAATGCAATAGCTACTAAAGGACTATTAACATGGCCAAAAATATAAAATTACAGTTCTAAAGATTTTCTAAGCTAGTCCCTATTACATGAGAAGCTATATTTAAAAAGTGGAAGACTGTACAGAGCAGGAAGACTGAAAAATGGGACTGCCATGTCATATCAATTTATTGATGAATATTCATTACAATATGCTAAGTGGTTAACTCCATGCTTTCTCTGACAGGGAATCTAAGGTTATAAAACTGAGCAGCAAAGAGTGGATAAAAGTAGCAGTTACTTTTAAAATGACAAATCTCTTGTCAATGAATGCTAAAACTAGGTTTAATGAACCATTGAATTTTTACTTTGAGTTAACATCAAAATTGTGATGTATTTTGGTGAGATGGAAAGAAAAGCTATTCTGTAAATTAAGCTGCACCTAGAAATAACACCAAAGAATGAAATTCCAGTTGTCGGAATAATCTGTTACAATGGTGTAGGTTAATCAAAGTTAAATCATCTGTAAAATGGGTGGCTTTTGTTAAACTGAAGGAGTCTTCAGAGCAAGTGTACATTTAAGTGATATTTAAGATAAGCTAAGAATAAGCCACAAAGTACACTTTGAATTATTTTAAAATATTACAACACATTTAAAAGGTAATATTCAAGATCTTAGAAAATCCTTACTAAATTAACACTGCTAGTTATGCATCTATCACTTTTCATGATTCTCAATATGAAGTGAAAAATGCCATTGTTAGCGCATTGCTATTTGGGAAAAACATTTGTTATTTATCGATTCATTATATTTTAAAATAATCTAATATCCTATGAAGAATTTCTAACTTACAAGGGTAGTTTGATTATTCATACATAATACAAAGGAAGTTGACAATGAGTTCTAAAAATCAGGAAATTTGTTGTATATAAACACACGATTTGACTTACATAAATTCAACTTATGAATAACTTCACAAACATCTGTGAGAACATTAGAGGGAAAAGCTTTAATCATTAGTTTAAAAATACAGGTTAGATAAGAATGATTTTCCTTTATTATTTTCAAAATAACCCTTTCTTTTCTGGATCAGCATCATTTAGAATCACTTGATTTCAATCTATTTGTCCATAATTTCATCTTCTGCTACCATATTCTTTAAAATCAAATATGTATCTAAGAGAATCTTCATTGGGAGAAAGGTTCATGAATATATCAATAGAATCCATTCCTTTTCTTTTTTTAAATATCTAGAATAAGAAAACTTGGGTTTTGTTAATAATTTGATCTTCAAAAAGGGAAAAATACGTAGCTGACTTTTTAATCAGGAAATATTTTAAATATAATTGTAATGCCAATTTGGGGGGAAAACAAGGACTAATAGTTGAATTATACCATTTACTTTCTTTTAACACAGATGTTATCTCTCTACATAGTCTTTTTTTTTTAAAGATGAGGTCTCACTATGTTGCCTAGGCTGGCCTGGAACTCCTGGGCTCAAGCAACACTCCCGCCTGTTTCCGGAGTAGCTGGGACTATAGATGTGTACCACCACACCCAGCCACAGTCTTTTTTATATAAAATTTAGATTTTATTTGGTCAGTACTGGCAACATTTACATAGACCCTGTTATTGCAATTTCATCAAATATTACATTTTTCTGAGGCCAGGGTTTCATACATGCTGATTAAAGTCTTTTAATTAAGATTAAGAAAAAATACTTCAATTTTCTTTATATTTATATTCTTACAGGTTCTCTGAGTGTTAAAACTAACTTATTAAATGTGTTATTCCAGAATTTTAAAAATATTCATTTTAGATAAAGGTAATATTAACCAGAATGCCTACAAATTTGGTCTATTGGGGAAGTGTGGATTCCAAATGTTAACATCCAAAAGATTAAGAGATGGCTGGCCTGGGTGGTTCACACCTGTAATCCTAGCACTTTGGGAGGCTGAGGCGGAAAGATCGCTTGAGGCCAGGAGTTCAAGGGCAGCCTGAGCATGAGTGAGACCTCATCTCTAAAAAAAAAAAAAATTGAAAAATTAGCCAGGCATGTTGGTACATGCCTGTAGTCCCAGCTACTCAT